TTACGAGGTGCTAATTGATGATCCACGATCGCTAACTCAATCGGCAAACATCTTTTTTAATTCAGTTTTTAATAACACGAAGAACGGATATAAAATATCTTAGCAAGGCGTTAAAAAAAAATGGGTAGATATTGGGTTGGAGTAAAATCAAACGTAGCAGGTATCGAATACTAGTCAACCCACTAAGTTGTGTTGTTGTTATTATCATGCGTAGAAGCTGCTATCATATCATCTTGTCAAACCTTCTCTATATAAGACGGATTAATGTCTCGTATTGAAAATGTCATCAATAAACACTGTAAATATGTAGAGAAATTCATGTGAAGGAAAAATGAACCTCATAACGAGGCCACTGACACTGCACGCTAGCTATCGTAAGGATTAGCGACGACTTATAAATATGTATTAGAAAAAAATACATACCTGCATGCAGCCAGCTACGTGTTTGCACGCAGGTATCGAGACTTTGTCAGAAAAAAAACACTAGTGGTAAACAACTCGAGCTTCAGTGTATTGTTGATAATATTTATTCATACATAAATAACTGGAGCTGCTGCTGCTGCTAGACGCGACGGGACGGCATCCATCGGGGTTCGCCCTGCGCACGACAGCGCGGATTTACCTTTAACTTTGTGCATGTAATGGTATCGAAACGGTGCGTGCAACGGTTTACTCGTGAGGTCTTCAGATCTCCTATATCGCAGACTTGACAAGCTTACCGTTACGGAAATTACGTGCGACTAAGCTAAATAACTATTTTTATCGAGAGCTTGACGAAAGTGACCCAGCCTCGTATAGCTTGAGTGTTCGCTTCGGCAGACAAAAAAGGTGTTCAAAGGTGGCTTGGCGAAACAACAACCCAGTCCGTTTCGGCCAATCCTAAAAATGAATAGGCCTCTTCATTCGGGATATACAAGCTGTTTTCTATTATTCGTTTACAATTTATCCTATGATTGATCACTACGGTTTACAAGTCAGAAAAATGGCAATAATCTGTCGGTAAAGATGTTCTTAATAGTAGATAGCATGCGCTAAACATACGGATGGCTTCGAAGATGCTGCGGCGGTAACTTCACTACTCATCAGCGGAAAAAGGAAGGAACACTAAATCATACGTACTGCAAAAAAGAAATAGAAAAGATTACTCGAGGATGCAACACCCATGGTCAGCTAACCAAATTACTCGAAACAAATTTTACGGACGGTTCTATTCTTTTGAACAGTTACTGTACAAAAAAACATATTTAATGTTCCATTGAAGAAAATGCATACTTTGTGGTAGATTGAATGCGGCCGTTAAATTACCTATCCTAGTGGATTAGTAATAACAAACGAACTCATGAGTGAGAGCAGCCGTTCAAAAGTGTCATTTTCTATAATATCGATTCCACATTTTACCCCATATTCAGTCTAGTTGGGCGTGTATGGAAATATCCTTACAAATTTACTGGTTTCATTCACCAAATTAAGGAACATAATAACGAGCTATCGAAGGTTGTCGAGTCGTAGTCGCTTATCGGCCTTTCATCTAGGTTCCCTGTAGAACTGTGGTACGATAACCCGACGAACGGATTGTCAAAAGCTGAGCGTAAAAATCAAGCCCAGCCAAGGATTCTATTTGAATATTAGCTCCTGCTGCTTTTGCCGGCTCTGTTTCGTATTCGTCCCTAACCTACGACGACTACTAAAGTATCAAAACAAAAAAAGAAATTGTGCACTGTTTGCGTGTCAAAGTAGACGTCAGGTTTGCGTCACCGTTCAGAACGATTAAAAGCCTTTGCTTCCGCTTAACTTCGTACTCCCACTTAAGTTTGCTCTAGCCTGTCCTTCCGCTCTTCCCCAAACGAACAAAAACTATGGCAGTTACCAGCGAGTGTATCAGTGGCGAATGCCAATACCCGGCCTGGCCATCCCTTGACGTCAGCGTAAATATCAGCAATGGCGAACCCGATGCTACGACACCTCAGAAGACAATGACATAGGACCATAACATTGTTATCGCTTACCGGTGATAGTTAAACGGCGAGTATGCTCAGGAATGGATTGACTTTCTTCAGCAGCTTCAGTAAGCAGACCATCGATGGGTTGCGTTTCACTTGGGCAACGGAAAGGGCAAATATTTGTTTGACAGGCGCAAGGGGTATCGGTATTGGAAAAGCAGCACTATTATCAAAAAAAGGCAAACGTATATTTCCTAAGGCTATCTACAATTTACTCTGTAGACAATGTGTCTGCCGCTTCTGTACCTAAGCACCCCATACATACGTACAAGCTCACTTCGAAACGGGCCGTCGAAACTCTCCGAATGTCTCATATCGCCGAGAGCGGGGGGAATTCAGGGCTTATGCACACGTAAACGGAACAAATCGTTTCGACGAACAACGTTTGGCTGTGTTGTTGGCTGATTGTAGCGAAAATACAAGACCCAATAGACATATGCATCAAAGTAAGACATTTTGCTCATTGCCACGTCCATATATCAATCAACGATATTCTACTGAATCTATTAAATAATGATAGAGCCTTAGTTTATTTAGGCAGTAGTTCGGCCGAACGCAGTTTAATGAATTGTGCTATTGCTAATGTCATAATTATGATTTCTTTGCCACACGTTATAGAGCTTCTGGCGCGCACTTTCGTACAATGATAATGATAATAATAATAAATGAAACGTTTTGCCGTATCATGGAAGAGCCCTATTTCGTCGCCTCCACAGCAGCAGCGTCATCCACCACAGTAACAGACGGTTGGTTGGAAAATTTATTGCCGATATTCACCTCTGATACCCTTTCTCGCCGAAGAGCGGACGGGTATCCGTTGTTAGTCATCACTGGCCACTGCTTTCTGTCCCCTTCTATGGAATCTTCTTCGACTTCAATGCACCCCTCGCGTGGCTATGTTTGTGCGTGTATGTGTCAGCGGGATTTTCACTATTGTTTGTTACATCGACGGATTGCGCACTTCTCGGTACATGACTGGCAATCTTCTTCAACGGCACGCACACCGCAAGTGAAGCACTCGATAAATAGACCAGCTATATTATACCGAAAGCTATTGCTAGGATAGCTAGATCACAATAAAGTTGTTTTTGGATTACCAATAAAATACGGAAGCGCATGAAATAAACAGAGGAAACAAAGCGAGAAAGGAAGGAAGTCTAAACTCCATATATTCTACCTATGTGAATGTGTTTGATGACCTTTTTCACATAAATACGAGCGATAGGTGGTTATAGACGATCTGGCAGATAATTAAGCCGACCGGATCGTTGTTTCCGCAACGGCATTAATAACAACAAAGAAAAAAAATTAGCATATGCCCTCGCTGGCTTGCCTTTTACCTGAACGCTTCGTGACGGTGAATATCTGAAAAGTCACAGAACTGCTAATGGGTAATCAGCAGAAGCGAAGGATTAACCAGCAACTAGCGATCAATAAACAATTAGTAAGGTAATCCAGTTAGCGCATACGGGCCAGTTATACAAGAGCTTTATTCCGTAGCGCGCTAACTTTAATAGATCAGTTCCTTGTTAGCTGGTTTAGTCCTGTCCTCTTCGATACCTAACTGTCTTTCGTATAGTTCTGCCCAAGTTACCAAATCAAGTAACTATCGCAGAACTATAAGGTCGCGTATCTGATCGCGGCGTGATCTGCGAGGCAGATGCGCCCTTCACAACATACGGCCATCGATCATTGAATTTCAGTTTCGGCGAATGGTTGATACGGCATATTATTACTGCATGTTATGACGCTTCGTAGAGGCGCTCATTTGTTAGAGAAATAGCTGAAAAGGTCAGCAGTCGATGGAAAAAAACAGTATTTTACATTCCGCTGTGTAATCCCATCTTTTGCAAGTTGCGGCGAGGGCTTGAGTAGCCTCAGCCGTACTGCAGGTCCCCTTTTCCGATGACCCCCATAAAGCCTGAAACCTGAGCTTACATAAATGGCGTCGTTTTCGTTTTATTTAGTCCTAGAGGTTACATTCGTACGCCACAAACTACACACGTTGCCTTGTTGAGGAACAGTTAGCAGCAATCACACTAAATTCAATGAACCTTTTCTGAGTATCGTAGACTGCTGGTATAGTTGCTTCAAAGCGAATATTTACCAACCCTTCATTCGACCAAAATGAGTCGACAGCTGTGAATTTCGATCCAAAATGGCCTAATACCTCAGATGATACGTTTCTTGTATATAACGAAAGTGGCAATGTATCGTTTTGTTCCGCTGTCGAATTTTCAATTAAATTTTTAATTTATTTAGGCCAAGAGTAATCAACAACGGCTAATGAAATCACCGGAAAGTCAGGACTCGATCGTTGAGCCTCTTGCCAAAATAATTGTTAGCAGTTCGAGAATGTCACATTTTAAGCCTATCAGGATGCTTCTGATAAGCGAGTTGCAGACACGACTCACGTACAAAATTTATAAATGTACAATAATTTTGGCGGGCACGAATTTTGATGAAGTTAATAATTTAGACTGTATGGAATATACGTTAGAACACTGCGCTCAACACGTCTCCCGACCGACGGGATCTAGACGCATTAAGTGGCTAAATTATTGGTTTTCTGAGTCCGAACTTTAAGATATTTGAAAGTGACTTTTTTTTGTGTATGATGAAGTTGATGGATCAAAGCAAAGTTAAGCTAAACTAGAGCATTTAGATGATAACTTTGCCAAGCAATGAAAATGGAACTGGGGGTCCTAACGTTACAAATCAGTGTTCTATGATGCACGCTAACGAATGTGGGTCTTCTACTTACTGAATTTAAAGCAGAATAATTTACATTGTCAAGTCTATGAAAATGACTGCTATAAAAAACAGGTTCTGAATGGCACAACAATGCAGACCCAAATTCAAATTAAGTGTCTATTTTTATATTTTGCTTTTTAAAAGCATTTTCCAGTAGGAGGTATCCAAGCTAACTATCCGTTATGCTGGCTTTCGTGAAATTTCCCATATATTTTAATGCAACGGTCGACATTCTAAAACGATTTTCACTACATATCAAGTCCGCACGGTCAAAACAATATTGCAACGCCGTTTAAGCGCCCCATATTACGATCACGTTTAGGCGTTTTCAAGCTCAGCCTTTGCATCTTTTTTTTGCTCGTGGGCAAAGTTCATTCGTTATTACTACACGTCGTTCATAGGACACATCCGTCGTCCACAGGGGAAGTGTTTCCTGAAATAAGCGCTATCAAAAATCACACACAAAAGATAATACGAATACTATTATGCAATCGTATATGCATTAGTTAGGCCTTAGAAAAATCATCTCAACTTAAACGTGCGCTGATGAAAATTACAGATGGCTGCTGAAAACAGTATTTCTCTGATCGTTGTCCGAATCTCCTTTTCATTGCTAATTGTTGGCACAGGATACCATCATAGTTCATCATTACCTAACTAATTTCAACGCCTTTGTCCACATTTAAATCTACCCATATCATTGACTTTCTTGGTGATTGCAAGCAAACGGGACACTAATCGATAGCATTATAGACTGTATAATTGAAAATAACGAATTGCAAAGTAATAACTTATCATCTCATTAATTACCTCGAGTGACACACAGTAAAGCTTAACTTATTTTGTTATTTCTGCGAATCCTTATTGTTGGACAATAGTGTAGCCTGTTGAGAGCCTATACGCATTTACATTAGTCGACTGCACAATATCGTCCAGTTACTGACAAAGTTTGTGTCCTGGAAACCGTCATTTTCGGTCGACACTGGGCTTTGACGATTCATTACAAAACAAACAGACGTTTCGGAAAAGTTTCATAATATACAATAGCTGCGCGGAGAAGATGTCCTTCAACGTATCGTTCGTACGAAGTCATCCCCGTGTTTAATCCTATCTAAATCTATCAAAGCGTCACTGACAGCTCATAGCTCATAGCTTCCATTCGGGTAACTCCGATTGGATTTTCTAAGATATCGATCCGAAGAATATCGTAAGAAATACTGATTAATTGTTAGACTTGTACGAAGAACATAATATCGAATCAATGTTTCGTTTTAAAGGCATCCTACGCCGAGATGGATTTTTCAGTATGATTATTATTGCTTTTCAATTAATGAATTAGCCATGTGAATTATGTACAGCACAGACAGGATTGAGGTATCAATCAACTCCAAGCTTCCACGTATCGTTACAAATGTGTGTGTTCGGAATCATTCAGGATGGTGGTCGAACGTAAGATCCAAATAGGCCAAAACTGTGAAGTAGTCGTGAACTGTCTACAGATCAGTGTATTCCACAGTACAGGATTTGGCATTCAAGAATAACGGAATCCTCCGATCTTTTCTGTTTCACCTGCTTCTTGGTCTTCATGCATTTGAGCGACAGCTATGTTCCAACAGCAAAGCTTCGAGCATCAACGCGAGCCGAAGAAGCGGAATCACGCTTGAGAAAGCTGATAAGGCACCGAAAAACTTCACACAGAATCACACGTCATCAGGCCACGCTTCCGGGACACTGGCAGTCATCTGTCGAATGTGTTTTTAGTCTTAGCGACGGCCTCCTCGACGCTTCTCACAGTGACAGACGCTGTACGCACATCTTAGCAGAAAGTTGTATACATGTATATACGCCTAAAGCATCCAAACAAAACAAAACAGGGTTGGTGGCGGCTTTGACGAATAGCTAATCCCCAAAAGGCCTACTCTGTAATACATAATTTTGTGTGTGTGTGTGTGTGTTTGTGTGTGCATAAGGCTCATAAGAAAGGCGCTTTACTGAGCCATATAGTGCCGTGCTATTATCTAAATAATGAATTTTCAATGTCATTTGTAGCTACAGTATATCCGCATGACTGTTTGCGAGACAAAAAAAAATAGCCAACGTCAATACGTAAAAGGGTACCGTATCGAATTTGATCCGAATCTAGTGAGAACGTTATGTCCACGCTAGAAATCATGCCTTATATCTATGGTTTTCTGGTTCTATCGTATGTTACTATGCAGGTATTAGTCATAAGCGTGTTTGGAAAACATCATATAGATCATATCATATGTAATATTTGATAAGGTTATTCTCGGTAATAACAAATATGTGGTACCTCGAAAATACAAAACTGTTCTAAAATTAATACCCTCGTATCTGTATAGATAAATTAGCAGGATATTTGCCGTTTTTTTTTTTTTTACCACAGGTATCCCGAGTCTCGACTAGGCAAACTATTTAATGGTTCAATACCGATTGTGTTGGATTCACTGAAGCAACATTATTTCATTGATCGCGATGGCAAAATGTTTCGTCACGTGCTCAATTTTCTACGTACCGGGATCCTTGTTCTACCGACTGACTTCGCAGAATTAGCTCTGCTCGTGGAAGAAGCACGATTTTATGATATACCATCCCTTAATCGAGCCCTGCAGGAGTATCAGCTGACTAGCTGCAAAAGCAACGGGGCCAGCGGGGATGGCTCTTTATCGACGCCTCAACGTGGCTTCAAAGAAAATGGGCCGGGACCTGTAAACCCGAAGAGAGCCCGGCTCGAGAAAGCCCGCCTCGAAGATCAGAGAGAAGATATTGGATTGCATCAATGTCTTTCGCTCAGTATTTCGCCTGATCTTGGTAAGATAAACAGTCCACATTATAATATAGTAACCTCTGTGAAAGATGTTTTATCAACACAAACTGTGGTTAATGTGTAGTGCTCGGCAGTATGTACCGGATGAATGTGTAGGACAGTTATACTACTTATTATATGTAACGATTAAGCAGATGTGTCGTTCATTGATTAAGATTTGTAGTAAAATTTACAATGTCGGTTTTCTATTCAGAGAATAATTATTTACACCATCTGTCGTTTTACACAGAAATACGACTTCGTCTCCGCCTGTCTTTTTCGCGTCATGCAGACCTGAGTCATTTTAACTTGGAAAACTTTCAGAGGATCATGTCTGCCTTTCGTTCTGGCCCTTTAACAATTTGATGTCCCACTTATAAGCACATTGTTCTTTAATGATCCCTGTCTTTTTCCGTTCTGCGTATTATATGTACTATATACTTAGTAAACAATAATAATGCCTCTCAACGTCTATTCTTCAGCGCTGTGTTTTGGATTCTCTTTTTCTCTTTAGACATTAGTTGCAGTGCTAGGTTCAGTACAACCAATCATTTCGTCGAGATGTATGGATAGCAAAAGTGTGTAACAAAACGGCCTCAATAGGTCAATGCGAATCAAAATTTTTGCATAATTTTACTGCATTAACCTTCCAAATTGGGTTGTGCAATTAGCCTAGACGTTTTCCATATTTTTCTCCTGTAATTCCAGGTGAGAGAGTATTAATCTCCGGTGATCGGGCTTTGGTCGAAGCAGTATTTCCAGAAGTTCTTCAGCCGATCGAAAGTGCCCCTGGAGCAGCCACTTGGAGTTCGCAGGACAGCAAAAGTGTTCTGCGCTTTCCGCTTAACGGATTTACGAAACTTAACTCATTACAAGCTATTGAGCGGCTACTTAACGCCGGTTTTCAGGTATGTCTTCTCGCTTATACCTTCATTTTCAGGCGTCGAGTACATTGTTTGCCCAATGATAGTCGTAGAGCTCCGTTGACGTAGCGTTACGACACCCTCAACTTACTTCGACATCATCTTTTATTATAGTCTTTCAATTGTCCAATTGGCTTGTTTCGATTGTCAAAGTATGCTAACAGAGACGAATACTTTTTTCGGTGATCAAAATGGCTAGGGTCACATTTTCTCTGCAAAAAATTAATATTGTAGAAAACAAAGTTTTACTTCCTTTAACAACTTGAGCTTAGAAACGTTTGTTTCTTCTTCATTATTCCACTAACAGGAATTATGTAAGGCACTTAAAATCAGATTTAATTAAATCGATGATGATCTCATCTGTAACAAGACATGTCATTTTTATGGCGTTTATATCCCCTTTTTTTTTTTTTTTTTTTTCCAGTTGATCTCTTCTACGGCTGGCGGCAACAGTGTAGACGGAACGCAGTTCGCTGAGCATATACACCTTTTCGGACGGCGAAATGAGCAACCTCTATCGCCTCGGAGCAGCCCCGTTAAAGCAGAGTGATCTGCCTTTTGAGTTGATATTGCGCGCAAACGCGAACCTTGCTATTATCACTTTATGAGCCTGGAAAGGCCAGCTAAGAGTAAACGGACGGTTGCAAAGGTTTGGAATGAGAGTAGTAGCTTTTGCCCTAACATCAATACCAAACCACTCTTATAGTTTACCGAACCGCTGCTGTTAAATGGATTTGACATAATAAAATAAGCCAAGATCAGTCCATAAAATGCTAGCGGTATTATGAACGACAGTTTGATTGCATCATCTTCAATATATATATATATATATATATATATATAGCTTGAAAAATTGTTCTATAGTGTTCGTAGGACGTGAAAAATATGCCTAAACTATAACCATGTATTGCTCAATGGCCTGCGAAGACTACGTAGATCATTCAAATTCAAAGACAGCAAATTTGTGAGTTGTACCTTTTAAAAGAAGTTGAGTATTTTCTTCGTTCTGTAATATATCATAGGTTATTTTTATTGTTTATGTGAGGTTTCGGGAACAGTCTGTGTCTGGCTGCAGAATAGAATTCCAATAGATTGATATGGTTTTAGTAAAAGATTTCTACCCTCGACGCTACGCCTTCGACCTTGATTTGTCCCGTAGAACAACTACTGAGCTAATTGTCTTAACAAAGATCATGATAGAATGTAGACCGTTTTCTTTTAGAATATCACCCGTACTGCAGCAAGGAGCACTAAAATCAAATACCAAACCACCTTGCACCATCTACTTTATTGAGTTGAATTCAAGTTAACGTCTTTAGATATTAAGAGGGTACCGTTGAAGGCTGCGGGAGGGTCTTTAGGAATCATTGCATAATATCTTTTAGGTTCTGTTGTTCCCTTTCGGTGTGAGTCCCCTTCGCTGTACATAAACATCTACCTGTCAAGCGGCAAGAACGTTCTACTTACAGGACAAATACGGGGGCAATCATCGTAAATTAGGCGCTCCCCTTAATAGATCGTGCAAGTGCCACGCTGCAATATGGTGAATTTGACTGTGAATGCTAAATTATTACGAGGCAAAAACAAATGTTTATAGTTTAATCAATTAATTAAATGATTAAAACAAGTGGGTCTGAATTAGGCGAATGCGTGGCTTAAGTTTGGTGTGTTAGGATAAGAGTTTAGGTCAGTGATATTAATTCACAACATTAACTACAATTAAAAAGATTATATATATATATATATATATATATATATATATATTGAACACAAATCCTGAGTCATCATCAGTGCACACGGATGTCAAGCTGCCCAGCTGTTAGTTTGTAATAAAACAATTAGGTATAGGCGAAACGTAAATTCTAACAATAGTGCTGATTATACGCATTAAAGCTATCAACGAAACTGTCCAGCACCATAATGCTATGTAAATATATATAATTAAATAAAAAGAGTCAAGGGACTCCCGACTTGAACGAGAGCACACAGAGACGTTTCCAAATCTTTTTAGGTTAGTTACCGAACACTTTTGTACCTATGAAATTGGTAGCTGCTCTCACCGTGCGTGCAAAAAAAAAAAATGATCGAATGCGCCAACTCCGCTGTTCGTCAACCTCGAAACGCCACAGTTAGGCAGTGGGCAAAAAGCACTCAAAGAACCCCGAAACACTTCGAATGGTATTAAGTTTGGCCAAACAGTGAGAAAGGTTTATTTTTAACACATGACTGCACCAGCCCCCTTCTACAACTACGCTATAGATTCAAAAACGCTAGCGACGAAACGGGCGGATGATTATCGCTGCACATTATGCACGTCTTATTATTATTATATATGTCCAAATCTCATTGTTTTCAAGCTATATCGACAGCGTATTATCGGTCCACTTTACAACAACACTCTTTGGTCTTTCGATTCTGAGCCTGAAGCGCCTCAGAGCTTCCGGCATTGAAACTTATGGGTGCTACTACTAACGGCGCTACTAGGTGCGCATGCTCGATCTTTTACTTTCGTAGACGTCTTTCTTGTACATGCGGTATTATATATAGTAGCACGTTCGAATGTCCGCTGTGTAACCACAATTACTTTTCAGTAATCCTGCTATATAGTCATTTTGCATATTTTATCTACTATTTATTGAAAAAAAATTGACGCTTTGGTTTCAATAGACATTTTATATAATTATTATTACCTCCATTCACACATCTTCACCGTTGTAACAACAATAGTTCCGTTAAATTTCAGATAAACGATGAGAATACCTTTCTCTCTCCCTTATATATGTATATATACTAATCATAAGAATTTCTGTTAACTTTCGGTATTTGTTTGTGCAGCGCTGATCCTCAGCTGCTGTACGAAACTGAGCTCTACTTACTTCCTCACACTCTAGTAATTTTTTTTTTTTATATATGCATAGTCATTTTGCAGGTTTGTCATAATACAGTTCATTTCCTCTAATATTTATATCGATGAATAAAGACAAACTCCATTTTATGCTTGGGGCGAAATGTCTCGTAAAAAACTTCGTCAGTTCATATTTATATTTTTTTGGGTTCGGGTCCATTTCACATGCCGCTAGCAAAATTGCTTCCAGCAGATCTGCGTTTGCTCAGATAAACGTACAAGGCACTCTGTTTAACTCTAAGCAACTAGTACAAATTTGGGTCGTGTGCGTTTCCTTCAGTTATACAATTGGTATCGGACAATTATCAATAATCTGCAAACATCTGCCAGCGTATGGAACCTGTTGCATTGTCTCCAATGCTTTATTCACGAGCAGAGACTTCTCATTGGATTTTTTTCACTGACGCCAAACGGTGAAATGTAACAGCCACAGGGCTCACCGATTACCGATCATCGTACGACCGACGGCATATCACGCACGCGTACTTTCACCCGCTTAACGCTTCCCGTTCGATCGATCCATACGCCGCCTTTATTACGTGTTACAACATTAGCTTCTATCGATCCCTTTCTGCTCAAATATATATATATATATATATATATATATATATATATATAAAGACAACCTTGTATTATCTTTCATATTCAGGTACAACATACGAAAACCTATACTTAAGCACACACAGTTACAAATACACAGAAACGCACGTTTGTCTTTAGCGAGATGTTGCCGATGACCAAAAACGGTTATTTTGGCCAGAGGAGCTACTTCACCAAGCGATCATACGGTACACATGCCGGCGTCAGTTGGATCTGAGAACGTGGTCTACGTAGTTTCTAAGCCTTTGCACAACCTGCATACATACTAGGCCTGGTATACAAGAGTACAATATACTATTGATAAATGGTAATCGAGGCAGTGACAAAAAGCACCTATTGTGAATGGCGATAGAAGGTCTAAGACATCAATAACTGTGTACGTGTTTCTGGATCAGTCAGTCATATTTCTGGCGCTATTTCCTATTCTATATCCACCGCGATGATATCCTGTCCTGTCCTATCTAGGTCCTACTTCTATTCATTATGTAGTGCAAAGAAATAATTGTTTTTCCTCTCAACTCTCCGTAGGAGCCTCGGATAAGCTATTGCTAATAATACATCTGACTATGTTTTTGTGTTATTACATATTTCCTTGTTGTGATGTGTCGCTTCCACATCAATTATGATATAAGGCTGGATTTAGTTCCGAGGTTAAATACAAACCGTAATCACTATTCTTATGATGAACGTAGTTCGCGTCATTTTGATCCCGTTCGTTCCTCTCATCCAACGCGAGACACGTCCGAGTGAAACGTCTCATCGTTTGTGACATTTAGAAAAAATTTCAGGTACATCCTTCAGGGGTCAACCGAGAAATCAGTCATCCGTATAGAAACGCTACTTAACAGCCACACAAAACTAGCACCCATTATCATTATACAAATACCCAGATAAGTTCTTGCCGACCATCAGTGACGTTACGTATAGATTTCGGCGCTTTAATTGTGTATCACAACAGGCTTGCAAAGGTAGATTTTCACACAACTGGTAGAGACAAATCGTGCTCGTCCAAATGACTATGCGATTATCGGGTGGAACGTCCTCACTACTACCACGCTCGTGTTCGCTGTTGTTTCACTTTATCATTTCGATGTTACCAATCTGTTTGGTTGTTTTAGTTATCGGTTAGACTGGTGTTCTGCACAATGCTGATTTAGACTACGAAGTTTCTTATACAAACACGCCAAGTTAAAGACCACATCGAAGACGTTGAGGGATCCTATTTTTTTAGGGCGTAGTGCTACCCCCAGAGCTATAGAGCTGTTGTATGAAGCGATTAGCTTGTCCGAGATCAATACCAACCCTATGGGCAATTGCCTGCGCTCTGGCAAGTTCTTCTCGCTCGCGTAAGAACCAATCTGAGCCATCAACGACGGCCAATGCCTGAGGATCAGAGCAGGTTCGACCACTGAGTGCCCGAACGTAGGCCTCACGCCGTCCGCTCCACTCGTGAAGTTCACTCAACGTCACCCTGTTTCACACACAGAAACACAATGAAAGCATACAGAATTATGAACACTTATATAAGTCATGTCAAAAAGCCTACATGAAACTATCTCATGCTAGCACTCAAATCTGCTTTCCGTGGCAGCCAGCAGCGTACATATATATGTAATGTTGTTTTATTACAAAAAATGTAATTGCTTTCGAAGCTTTAAATTCTTATATTTGATATGAAAATGGTGCATCTTACCGAAAGATGCTTGCTGCGTATAGGCGTCCCTCTTTCTGGGCATAGTCGGTGGCTTCAAGGCGAAAGTTCAGTAACTCGCGGAGGGCGTCGCCCGAGAGAATTGACGTTCTACCATTACGTAACTTCAAAAAGTGGTCTCGACATTCAAGCCACCTCGACAGGCACCTAGAGAGAGAGAGAGAGAGAGAGAGCAACACAAAACTATTAATAAGGATGACGTCTGTACCACGCAATGGATAAGCATCATGCGAACGCTTCTAAAGAATGAGCGCGTAATACATAAACAACTACGCTGTTATACATTTTTCATAAAACAAAGCAAAATAACGATTAACCTCATTGTGATGCCAAGTTCCCTCGCAGTCTCAATCTGTGCCAGAGACAGTGTCATCGTCTTGTTGTTCAGTTCCTTAACTTCAACGTCATTCGCTGTCCCGATCTTTGCAATCTGGTTCTCCTTGATGTGGCCATTGCCATTGACGAAAGTCAGAGACGAATCTTTCGAAGTCGAAAATGAGGCATCATTGTTGTTCGAATCCGTCTGATTGTCCATACTGTTATTATTGCCGTTTATACTCGAACACTGTGACGGCATTGGCTGATCATCCTCCATCGACTCGAGCTGATCGCCCATCGTAGCCGGGATCCCGTACGCCAAGGGCGATCCAGACGGCGAGCCATGACGCACCGCATTTTTGAAGGGCGACCGCGAAACTGAATGAAGTGAGTTTCCATTGCTGGGAAACCTGAAGGTATGGGACTCAAATGCAGCGCCTCCGCTTCGACGTGTCTGAATAGCGACCAACAAGTAACACGTAACGACTCGTTAGATAAGTAGATCTATTGCAGAAAGGCTTTAGAGCACTAATTTAATAAAACCACAAGTTTGTTAACACAGGATATACGCTAATCAAGCTGAAAATTACATGCAGTTTAATCGTGCCAAAATAAAGCAAGCAATCTTTTTCATACAACATGCAGGAAATATCAAATAATAATCATACAAATAATAGTAACTTATGTAGTGATGTTACAGTGTCACTAGTAATCACAAACCAGGCCGTACTTTTGTAATTAACCTGATATAACCAGCACATATGTGCGGAACGTAAGATAATTTGTCAATCATTTTTTTCGGGTACATAATCTTTTTTGAGAATCTTGCTCATCATGTCTAGCTGCTGATTGTTCAATGTTCAGCTCAATGAGTATTTCACCCCTCGCATATCACACGTCTTTAGTGGCTACGTTCCATCGTTCAGCCGTTTGGGAAGGGATTGTTACTGGCGATCTAACCGCACAACCAATTATATATGCTAACGTTGATCACGGTGGTTGTAATGGTGGCACAGCGCAGTTAAGTAAGACCACCCCAAGCAATATCAGGTGGCGGCTGGGGTTTGTTTGGGCACCCTGTTTCACCGCAGCAACGTCGCTCCGTAACTCTCTTACCCTGCTGGAAGGGGGTGCCATCACCGCTGTGGCTAACGACGTCGGAGACGACGACGTCGTGGCCACGTTAGTCACAGTGTTGGTCTGCTGGGCAGCACCGACGAGCTCCTCGAGATTGTTGCGGGTTATCCACGTCGAAACAGTTGTACGAGGGATGTTGAATTGGGCAGAGGCAGTCTTACTGCCTTCAGTGAGAGCCACCTTGAGAACCGCCACAACCTTTTCGATCGCCATCTCGCCCGTATCGATTACACGGATACGCGATGACGGCTGCTGAAGTCGATGATACAACATCTGTGCCACGACGTTTCGCCGCCGCAGCAGCGCAGCAGCAGCAGCAGCAGCAGTCGAACGTCGAACGAACCAGCATCGGCATCCATCATGCAATAAGAACATCCAACATGCAACAATATAGTATAAAATAATAGTAATAACAACACCGTTCACTAAACAAATGAAACTATTATCAAGATCAATGCTGATTATGATGTTAAAAATGAAAGAAAAACCAGCGAAAAACTGCTCATAAGTAAAAAGACTTCAGAATCGATAACGCCGACAGAGATATGGACAAAAAGACAACGAATAGCAAGCGCAAATAAAAAATAAGTGAGCATGAACAGAAAGAGTGGAAAACGAAAGTGAGTTCGAAATGGCACTATTTTATTATGGTGTTCCCAATTTTTACAAGATTATCCTTTAGAAAATGTTGTCCGACTGGGACATAAATGTGTATTCTTGGCGGGAACGCATATTCTTTCCGTTGCAAGAAAACCAGAATAAACTTTACGTCGTAAATAGGAGGCGGGCCCTTTAAGGCTATCCCTTGGTGGTATTCGAACAGACATGACGAACATGTAAACACAATCTACTTCGGATTTGAGCTTCCGCGGATTACGGTTACAGGATTGGTAACACTTAGAGAAAAAAGCCAGATCGCTTAACCATCTCGCAGAATTACGAGACATTATCTCTGTAAGGGTTCATGGGAATCTTTCTGCAACAAGTTGACTGCAACAAGTTTTTTTTTTTTTTTTTTAAGTAAGATATTATTCAAGCCACCACCACCTAGCAATCACGCATGCAGTCATTTTCCAATGAATTAACAGATCGCAACACGAAAATATTATAGATAATCATCATGAAATACGTACATATAGTATTTGTTAGATTGTTATCTAACAAATCTTAAATAGTAGAAAAATTATAATCAATAAAAAGTGCAAGATACACAGCGTAACAATAAATCATGCTTCTCTCTAGCTTGTACCATTCTGGGTTAATTGTCCGAAACGCATTTCACCTAAGCTGATTCGGTTTGCATTTCGCTATAGAAATACCTTAAGTGATCAGTAGGTCCTCATTTTTAAGTTACTTAAATATTTGGCAGTCCTCGGGTTCAGCTTCAATTCACGAGCTTGAAGTATCGGCTCCACAGTTTTATTAAAAACTAGCTTTGTCACATTTTACAGCTAGAACAACAGTTGTCTAGGTAAATGCTAAACGCGCCCTGTAAAAGTCACAATTTGTTCTTAAAATTCTCAAAAGTCTCAGAATTATGAATTGCCCAGCTCAACAGACCTTTTCCAGTTCGTCTGCATCAAGTGGTGGAGACCGATGAATGTCTCGAATTTCCACTTTGCGATCCGCTTTATGCTCTGATCCCGACTGATCATCATCGCTATTTTGCACACGACGTATCTCTTCCTCGGTGAAGAATTGACGCATCCAGCCGATCACCTGATTAGGTGGCACCTAAGCGCAAAACACAAAAAGTCCAACACATGATTATCAAAATCATTGCTAAATAACGGGAACAAACAAGGTCATTTAGATGGTTCACAGATTCAATTTATAGCACTCAAATAAGATCTAGGACACAATGAACGACAGACCTATACATAGTCTTCGTTAAATAGGGACCGCGGAAATAAGGCAGACATCATAACCTGTATACATTGTAAATAGTAAATCAAATATCATTGCTTTCCTACCTGGAAAGTTTGGCTGGCTCGGGAAAGTGTCTGTTTCCTAGCCATATCGATAACCTTCAGCATAAAGTCGAGGTACTCGCTGTCCTCATCCTCACCGTCATTTGCATCTCCCTGAAGAGAACATGGAACCAAGTACATTATATAATTCTATCCCTCGTGTGACACCAACTGAAATCTATAGCACCATAAATACAAACATATTCATAATTCAGTACTTTCTAGACACCGCAGTGTGTTACGGCTCGTTAAAATCCGTGAAAAAACGGAACTTCCAATCGACCAAAGAATTACGGTAGGGTACGCTTAGTTAGACGATACAGTTTCCGCAGCGTCAACTCTTTGCTAATAGGCTACGAAAAGTAAAACACTGCCTGAAGCCTTACATTGCCTGCAGTGCGTCCATTGGTATTCCCATTTGCCTCGCTATTAGCAGCCGGCACACCCTCGATGGCTAACGGGGGCACACCCGCGCGCACCCATTGAATGACCTGGCCTTCTCGAACGCTGTACTGTCTAGCGGCACGTTCCACCGAAGTGCGTCGTGCCAGATTGATTATTTCCTCAATCTCCTCTCGACTTTTACCTCCTGACTCACCACTGCGACCGCCTTTCGTCATCTTCTTTCTAATACGGTCTATGGCCATCCGACGAATAACGTTCTAAAAGCAGAAAATTTAAGTTTCTTATCTCTACGGACCATGTCAATACGATGCTTGATTTGCAGCTGAATAATAGTTAGCAGTTCTTCCAAATGATCAATGTAGAAAAAGATTACAAACCTGTGACATGAAGCTATGTACATCGCCGGCACGCATGTTGAAATGTTCGGCTGCTTTCTGCGTCGAGTTCTGGAGAGCAAAGATGACCACTCTGATCTTTTTCTCCACTGTGAGATCGTCCGAAAGAGCCGTTATCTGTTTGACCCTCGGTTCTTTTGATTCTTTCGGGTCCTTAGAATCGTCTTTTGTGGCTAGCTTCAGCGAGATCTTGAGCTTTGGAACTTTGGGAGGCTCGGAGTACCTGCAATTAGTCGCCCGATTTCATGATTTGAACAAACCATGATTTTCGGTAACGGTTTTCCATCTTGTTTAAGCTATATCAAGGCCAACGCTTGATTTGGTTTATCGATTCTGACACGAACACAATAACATTGCATATTTAAGGGCAGAAAATTATATTGAATAGCAAAAAACTTCTAACCAACAAAAAAATTTCCGCTATTTCTATATTTCCGCTAAATATTTGTTTAACAGCATTTTTTTTACGTTTAAATAGAACACTACAAGCTTGCTTTACAGCTAAAAGTGATGAACATCACTACGCAGCAGGCTCACTTATATCATTATCAAATCATTGGCAACAGGTCTGTAACATGGTTGTTGGACGTATGATTGACCGAATGTTTTTGCACTATATAACTCACCTGCGATCCTTATCAGCGCCACCTTGAGATGTTTCAGTATCGTCCTTGTCACGGTCCTTTTTTAGGTCTGCCATGAGGCTCTTCCGTTGTGGCATAAATAAACCAGCCTGTTCATGAGCTTTTCGTCTCCATTTGTACAGCACTGAATGCGAAATGTCTGGATAGCGCAGCTCACCCTCAGCCAGTGAGTGCTCCAAGAGGAAATCCCAAACGCTGCGTTTGAACTCTTCGGTGTAAATCACCGTACCTGTCAGAGTAACGAAGAGGACGCACACGTTAGGGTAACCGTGTGTCGAATTGTTTATTCATAGATGTACTTTCGCTACGTGTACTTCAGGCAATTTGCAACTAATCAACATTCATTTCGCTACGGACCCCTAAGCTTAAGTAATTCGTAACTATTCCCAGCTAAAGTTACTGCTGGCTACTAGTTAGGGGTAACACAGTGTTAGAAGCGCAAAACATGCATTCGCTCGTGACATTTTGACAATTAACGACGTTATTGATCGTAGTAAAGATCTCACTAGAGACACAACGGCGTGCTCCATGAATGATGGTGTCGACTTTGCCCTATTTGGGTAAGTTGAGCTGGTTGCTCTCGCTCCTACGTAAATTGAAAAATTTTAGTTATATCATTCTGTAATTTTTTTACTGACCTTTATTATAAGTCAGCTCAAGCTGTCAGTCTTGGGGTTGATGGCGCGATTTTTATTGATTAAAAAGTTTACAGGCAAAACAAGATTCTACATATGTTTTTGTTCAATAATAATAACAATAATATGCGTGCGGAGGACAAAACGACGTGCAACAGGCGTTTTACGCATCCCTTGATCGGAACATCCGTTAATAGGTAAACGACGATAGCACATTGCTACAGGCTTAAGCAGAGGATGAGGGTTTGTCACGAGGACAGAGGCTGAGTAGGGTCGGGCCGCTCTGGAGATTGAGCTGGGTTGCTTCTTTTTTGTTTTTGTGTAGAACGATTCCGATACCTTTCAACTTACCGCTGTCGTATACCATCTTCTTATCGGACTCCTTTAGCTTGTACGGAATAATCTTAGTCCTAGGTTTCTTTGAGGGAGGCTCCTCATCAGGTCCCCCGGCCATCCCGACAGGATCCATGCAGTCACCGTCCATGGCCATCAGAGGAAGCCGAACCAGTCGGACCTGTATAATTAACAACACTGTTGTTAAAACAATTAGTCTATGGCAGAAATGTTTGGCAATGACGGCATAGACAAAATGCATACACAGACTGCAAGCATTGTCGCTGAGCTCGACCGCCCGATGAAGATCTCGCGGTTTATGGCGAACATTTCAACGAGTGTGAATCACCAATGCTTTTAGGATATTATAGACCTTAAGCTTTCTAGCCTTTCGCACGTAACGATCCATCATTATGTTCTGCAACCATCGCTTCGAATGCTTGGCGTGAATCATGGCTAATACAACATAATAAGACCATACTAACCGACGGCTGAAATTCAAGGGCGGCTTCGGCGAGGCGGGAGTGAGTGGCGGCGCTGATGGAACTTGGTGTTAATCCGGTAGACATGGAAGGGCACGGCACCACGTGGATGATGTCCACTGCCCACAAATGGTGCACGAGTGCCGCCCCTAGTATGCCTTTGAATAAAGTTCAACCATCAGACCAGTAGCTTCTGAAAAAAACCGTTACATTGCGATAATGAGAGGATTTCGGACCCCACAGTACACAATGATATAGCTCTGCAACACCTGCTCTGCAACATTGAGCAAGCGTTTATACACTCGACGGTTAGCGCAATGAGACACCTCAAAAAAAAAGGTATCTTGTTAGAAAATCATTCATCAATTGAATGCGATAAGAGAGCAATATGTAACAATATACAACAACAAAAAACTTTTTTTTTTTGTTATAGTGTTGTTTATAGCGATTTGATAGTGAGGAACAATTGAGTAAAATCACAAATGACAACATTATTCGTGACATATGATTTCTGTGCTCTTGTATCATTCACAGGTTTTGAAACGGTAATTTTTTATCCATGAGCTAGGCCGTCTTAACCACTATATATGGTAATATGCAACTGTGACAAAGCACTCAACTGGTCTACAAGGTGGCACGACGTCTTTCACAGTATTTTTTTTAGTACTCGTAATGGTTAACTCTACGCTACAAATAGATGAATATCTAAAGACTTACTGCGAATAGATGAAAGGACGCACATAGCAACTTTCTCAATTAACAATATTATTCAATAATAAGGAGTATATACTAGTAGTTGAAAAAAAAAAATTTGAGTCTTAGGAGAATTTCTTTTAAATGTAAAAAACAAAAAGAACGTGGCAAAATTTTCTCTACAGGCGAGAGATTCTCCTTTACAGATACAGTACTCTCAACAGACCTTTATTTAATGCAACATCTATCAAAGTTTTACGATTTTACGGATCAAAATCTTCCGCCTTACAAAAGCGTTACTTTTTTTTTTTTACAATGGTAAAGAATTTGAATGTGTGAGACTAGCGCGCCAGTCATATTATGCTCATTCAGTGCATGTATATACCCAGTGTCTTCTAACAGTACCACAACTTGGACGCAAACTATTTCGCTACAAAACATGACTATTTACTTATTCGACCGCCATTCGATATGGCCGAATTGGTAGCAAACAAAATCAAACTTTAATCAGTACTGAACCGCTAGTTTCTGACCGGCACTATGGCCAACGCCACTACAAGCGCGTCGAACGCAACGCGGATCAGCATTAAGACGCAACTCAAATCTTCCTCGTATGTCTTGATGAGATTCGAAAAGGATGGATCCTAGATATCGAGGTTTATTTGAAGCTAGCGTGAACAACTGTTTCCACGAACAATGTAGCCTCACTCCCCCGTTAGCCTTGTGTTTTTACACTTGGCCTCGATGAGATTTCGTCGAGCACTAATCGAACGCTATAAAGTTTGCAATTACGGTTTGAACACTCCACAAGGCTAGTGCCGACCCATTTAGTTACTGCCGCTAAGCATCGAAAATCAAATTTCCTAAATAACTCCTTGTTCTGACGCACAACGCGTCGTCCTTAGAAAATATCGCTTGCCTAAAAATGCGTGATGAAAACGCTCTGCCAAGTTTAACTGTTCTCGTTTTGAAAAGATTTTCTGCAGAGCACACGCAGTCGCATTGAAGTTTTCAACTCACCTTTCCTCAGCCGACGATGAAGCCCGGTTAGACCAGAAAAAACTCAGTTCTTGCTACGGTCTCGAATTCCCAGCTCCCACCCCCACAGACGTCCGTGTTCCTGACACTCGGAGCACATACACATACACTCCCACAGCCCCAATGAAGCATCCAACAGCCGGAGCTAAGTTCGCCGAACTTTGTTGTTGTTTAACTACTCGCTGCTGGCCGTCACCGTGGGGCTTCGTCTCCTGGGCACACACATTCACGCTGCCAATCAACCAGCCAGCCAGCCCCAGCAGCAAGACCACCAAGCCACACTACCGCAGCCGCGGTGACTATAGCTAATGAGTTAGTTTCGTCTACGGGATGTTGATTATTGGATGGGGCCTGCCTCTCACCCTTTGCTGGCTGGCTGGCTGGCTGCCTGCCTGTATAGTTCGCTTACTCGCTCCGCTAGTCTCGGCCAGTTAGTGGCGGGTAAATTCGAAATAAACCGGCCAGCCAGTACCTTACTGGCGCCAAATTCAACAGAGATTACAGAAGCGGCGGAACAACTCTAACAGAGATATATGCCATACGCAAGAATTGAAAGATCAATTTATAATAAGGACTATGGTTTTGTACGGAGGGATATTTATTGAGTTCATGGCAAGCGAGACAATGGCTTTTAGCTACAGCGACTTTGAACTGAAGTGTTCGGCAATGTTTTATGCTCTGTGAAATAAGTTTTTCATACACGTTCTAAAAGTGTTTAGTTTTGTTCAAAACACGTTGTTAACTTATGTAAAATATCGAGATTGATAGCAAAATCGAAACCCCCCCCCCCCCCCTTGACACAATGATTTACCGGGTCTTGGTAACACCTTTTTTTGGAAATGGAACGCGCTAGAGGTTTGCCTTCCTTACAAAGCTTCTATCGTGCGGTAAGATACAAGCTAAATAAAATAATGTATGTGGACAGTATAGATAAGGATTCACGCGTGCAGGAAACTCAAGCATGAATTGCTTGGAGCTCAATGTAACCAATCAAATGAACGTACTTGTACATTGGATCATTAGAAGCAACATAACGTAATTTCATTAAATCATTTGATGTAAACATAAAAATCTTCAAAATCTAAACTCCAAAGATGAACGCATTATTCAGTCTTAACAGAGTAGCTGCGAGCAGGGGTCGCCCTGTTTGTCTGTGTGCAAGAGTAAAGTCATATTATAGAACTACTCAGCCGATTCTAATTTCCGTTACGTTACGGATCATAAAGCAAAAATGATTCTAGAAGAACGGCTCTAGACAACCCTATTGAGCTTCGTCATATGAAAGCAAATCATTAAGCCTGTTTGTTCTTTGCGTGGAAACACTCGTACTCCATCCACTAATCAGCACTGACTCTGCTGCTAATTAACTAATACCCAAGTAGAACGCCGGTCAAATTGTCCAGAAATCTGTCAGCTACATTGTGCTACTTGACGTATTCCTGCACATGGGTCGGCCGTTTTTGCGGTATGGATCTGTGCTCTGGACGCTCGCGCTGGAATTATTTAGAAAAGCCCAGCGTCGATACTTGAAAGTAGTCAAAACGACTCAAATGACAGGCGGATACACATATCTGTAGCCGTGCCGTAAAACGCATCTTGTTTTGTCTGACAATTACTTCTTTCAACGATATATATCATATATTGTTTCTAACGCAATAACACTTTAGTGCACATTTTCAAAATGTGCTTTTCGGCATCCACCAATACGCCTGTCAATGATGTGTCTCGTACAGAGCATACTCATTTATACTCCGGAAAAATTACAGGTTGCCACTGGTGGCATTTATATGCCTTCCTGACTACAGGGTTAGTTTTCGATCCACGCGATTCGCGGAAGTTAATAGTCTTGAGTGTAGCCGGGCCAATTCAAACGTAAGGCCTACTCGAAGCCAAGAAAGGATCAATATATATGATGATGGCTCTGTTCGTGTCTTTAATTGTCTTCATATGCTGTGTCATTAAGGGCCGGGTTTTAAGAAAGATAAAATCGGGCCAACCTTACTGAATAGTGTGAGTTAAAAGACTCTGCTAGCAGCCAGACGAGTGGAACCTTGCTGGGCGTTTTCCGTTCGGTAAATTGACGGGGCGGCGTCCTGGCCTGCGATTTGTACTATAGCGGAATTAGGACCACGAAGGGGAGAAAGGGGCATCTAGAAAAAGCTCGTTTCTGTTTTCTGGAGGTTTAGCTGAACCGTATGTTGTGCTGTAGTCGATCATCATAGCGCAAGTGAAGTCGTCACCATTCAGTGGAAGAATATCTATTTTTACCAGATGCTCTGAGCGATCTTGCTTTGAACAACAGGGACGCGTCGCGTCACACGTTAAGCGTAAATTTATTTTACCCCATTTGATTAAGCACGAATTATTTTTGGGTAAGTGTAAGAAAGCAGCATCTAATGTAATGTAACAAACCTCACTCAATCGCCTTATGATTGCATACGATGATCATCGGTTGTCACATAGAAACAACAACGCAGTTCACTGTTCGAGTAATAATGCTATATTTATATCCGGTGGGGATTCTTTTTTCAATTCTCGACAAACTTCAAAATTTATGCACAGCTGTAAAATGAATATGGTCTTTGGTGTATATGACACAGAGCTTCAAGAGAGCGATTGCCGAAGCCCGCGAAATCGAGTGCGTGTGCGTGCGTTCTTGTGTGTATGTGTATGTGTATGTGTGCAAATCTCAAGCTAATTTGAATAGACGCGTCTCAGATGATGGTATCAAGTCGTGTGAACAGATGTTAGGAAACACTTCACCAGAACATCATTTATATATATATA